GTCCTCTCAGGACCTGGTGGCTCAGATGATAAAGAATCTGCCTGCAACACGGGAGATCTGGGTTCAAACCCTGGGTTGGGAAGATCCCCTGGAGAAGGGAATGGCTACCCACTCCTGTGTTCTGACCTGGAGAATTCCACAGACAGAGAAGCATGGCGGGCTACAGTCCATGGGGTTGCAAAGAGTCGGACACAACTGAGTGATTAACACACATATACTATCAGACATAGATTTGTATATACTTTCAGGGTTTCCTTGAAAATTGTAAAATATTTCATTAATGCCAAGAATTCAACTAGAAACAATGTCATTCAAAAGGTGAACTTAAACCTATGCACAATTTTTCTTAACCAAAGTTTACTGACTTAAACGGGGCTTATCAAAAAAGCAGGCTCATTCTTCCACCTACTCAGACTCAGAGAAATCTTACTAATCTCCACTAAAAAAATCAAGTGAGTACAAACTACCTGTTAAATAGCCGCGGATTTTAGTAACTACAGCAAAATTTTCAGTCCCACATTATGACAATAACATGTGTGTGCTACGCTGCTTCAGTCGTGTCCAACTCTGTGCACCCCTACGGACTGTAGCTCACCAGGCTCCTCTGTCCATGGGATTCTCCAGACAAGAATACTGGAGTGGGTTGCCATGCCCTCCTCCAGGGGACCTTCCCAGCCCAGGGATCAAACCCACATCTCTTATGTCTCCTGCACTCGCAGGCGGGTTCTTTACCACCAGCAACACCTGGGAAGCCCCAACAATAACATGAGGGGGAGATTATACATTCAGTCTAAAGGCAAATCAGGCCTCGCCAAATACAGAGGCAAAAAACTATATTCCTCCCCAAAGTTTAGTTCATTGAATTTAACCAAGTTTTATTCCTGGTGGCTGGCATGGTAACAAGTCAGAGGCTTGACAAGAACAGCTACATAGAAAGGTGTTTAGATACTATTTTATAATCCCAAAAGGGAATTTTCACTGATCTTCCTAACTTTTTATTCCTATTATCTACTGACTGCATTAAAGGTTTTTCTTTGTATAATAGTCATAGATTTGGTAGCCCCTTTGAGACATGAAAAGCTTTGTACGGGTGAAGCTTTAAGGAAAATCATACCAATGTTAATTTTGAATGATCCAGATCTTGTATAGAAGTAACCTGTTGTCTGGTTCACAACCAAATGAATAAAATGATACCTGATAACTCTATTTTCTTATTAAAAATGTTCTCAGTATTGTCCAATTAATACACTTAGCCTTCATAAAATCATCTTTTTTTAGAGACATGTAGGAACCTTATCCCCTCAACTAAACAGAGAGCAGAAGCATAATACTGTACCTTGTGATATCATCAAAGACGCCGTATCCTGCTTTCTTATCCATTACCCACTGGCCAATGAACATACTGGGAGAAGAGGAAGTCAGCTTTCCGCTTCGCAGGAGACCATGACCATGACGCATATTATCTTGAAAACAGCCTTCAAACACTTCACCAGAGGCATAACTGTGGTTAGAAAGAATGGATAAAGATCACAAGCATACTGAATTGTGATGCTCATTTTTACAAAGTTTAGGAAATTCAAAATTATACTCATGTCTTAGCTCTATTTGTTTATTTATATGACTATTTTTCACCAGTCAAATATCTCATTTTTGAAAGACTGGGTTTAAGAAGCTGAAGGTGTTATGGGGGGAATTTTATGTTAACATGAGGGAAAATGTGTCCCTTATGGGAAAATGAAATAATGAGTGATCTCTGAAAGAATGACAGGTTTTATCCATACTAGAGCTATGCAGTAAATATCAGATAAATTCACAAGCAAGGTATCTAGGAGATTCTATGAGAAAGTTATGGTTTACAATGATTTTACAGTTTTAAGAACTATATAATAAGCTAATATCTTCATCCTGTGATAGATGAGAGGCTGATATTTAAAAGAAGAGTCAACACATTTTCATTAGGGATAAGTAAAATTTACTGCATGGAAACAGAAAATTCAGGTTTACATGATTTTTTTTCTTTTAAATTTAATTGGAAGATAATGGCTTCAGAACATTGTATTGACTTCTGCCATACAACAATGTAGATCAGCCCTAAGTATACACACGTCCCTCCCTCCTGAATCTCGTTCCCACCTCCACCCCATCCCGCCCCTCAGGTTGTCATAGGACTGCTGCGAGCGCCCTGTGTTAAACAGCGACTTCTCATTAGCAACCAGTTAGCAACCTTTCCAATGCTATTACCTATAGACTCCTTGACCACACATCTTTCCTTCTTTCCAATGGCCTACATAATGGTCTTCCTTGTTCAATGCTTTGTTTGGGATTCTATATTCTCCATATCTGCCAAGGAAAGTAAAAACATTTTAAGATGCATGTATGACATACTCACTTTTGGTATGAATATATTGGTAAATATAACAAGAACAGAGAAAAGATCTACCTAGAAGAGTAAATGGGTTATTGGTTTATGTGGTTACTTATTACCTAAGCTATTTGGCAAGTCTTAGAGGAATGGGACATCAACATCATTACAGAGTAATTAGGTGTTTTATCCCAAGTCCAATGAAAAACAGAAAATCTGTGTCCTAGGCCTATTTTTGCCCCCAATTAGCTGCATCACCTTGGGTAAGTCTAGGTACCCAGCTCCCTCATCTGTGCAACAAGGCAGGTAAATCAAGAGTATCTCAAGTCTCTTCTCATTCTGAAATTCTATGAAATAGAGATTAAAAGACACCAAAATTTATATTATCACACACACAAAAATCACCTACCCAATTTATATAATAATCTTTTTATATAGTAAAATAAAATTAGTTCTCTAACATGAAACAAAACACTTCACTGCCATATATTTATCATGTAAACATATTTATAGTGTTAGAAAACATGGCTTGTTTATATAAAAATAACATCATTTGAATATCATTAAGATAAACATCATTTAGAAGATTTCCCCTTCAACAGATCACAGAAATTAAAGATGAATTAAAATTATTGAAGGGAAAATTTCTCTATGTCCTTTGTGTAAAGGGGGCACTTGATCTCAACAGTCTCAACATCAACATTACCCAAGGTTCTCAGTTCTTACAACTGAGAAATGGATAGAAAAAACAGTCCTATGTCAACAGATAGAAGCTGTGTAATTTAAGGTCATCAACTGTCAAAGCAAATGATTCATTCTAGGTAAAACAAGGCTGCAGCCTGGATTCCAAGCTCTCTTCATGTTCATATCTGTGCATGGTAAGTCCTAATCCATTTCCAAAAACATAAAATTCTACTGTCTTGAAAATAACTGTGAGCGCAAAATAACACACTTTAAGACACTTACATTCACAATGTACTTACCCATCTTCCAAGCCATTCCTGAACATGCCAGAATACATCTTTCCATCTGGCCACTTCAAAACCCCTCTGGAAATGCATAAGCAAAGAATAACATGTGTCAATTAAAGTTTCCGAAAATCAGTACTTTTTCAGTAGCTGGATTACCATCCTGACTCCAGACATAAATCAAATCATGAACAGGCTAACCTGCCGTGAGGCTTCCCTGAAAGCCAGCGTCCATCATAGGTTGCATCCTTTAGGCGAGGATCCTTGTAGAAAGTGTATTTGGCACTGCGTGAAATTGGTGGTTCCTGCCTCTGAATACTGCTGCCACTTCCATAAGGTGGAAGATCAGACATCCCCCTCAAAGCCTGATCCACAGCTTGGCTTATAGCCCGGAGCCACTTTGTCTAAGAGCAAAAAGTACATGCCAGCAAGCTTAAAGCAACAGCTCATCAAGCATTGCTTTACATCTTGATAGCTTTCCTTAGTGTGGAAATTTCATCTGACTCCTAACACTCTCTTTATTGAGTAACACTGATTGGCTCTTAAAATTCATTGCTTTATGTTTTAAATAGTTACATTAAAACAACAACAAAAATCTATTAATTCTGGTTTAAAGAAGATTTATCAGACATAATTATGGATCATTAAGCAAGCAAGAACAATTTGTATTTCTTCCTCACTACCGTAAAAGACAGAAACAGCCAGGCCAAAGATGGAAAGAAAATACCATAAGACTAACCTTTTCCTGGGGTGTTGATGAAATGAGAGTGAACTGCTCCTCGGGTGTAGTTATCTTTAGGCCATTCCTAAAATGTGCACAAGGATAAAGGCCAGCAGGTATGACAACCTGTTGTTATAACATCAATCCTCAAATATGAAAAGCAACTTGTTTATTTCAAGAGGATCAGAAGTCAATTAGATATAAATGCAGTCCTGCCCTGGGTTTGGTTCCCATAGTGGGAAAAGGACACAGTTTCTTTGCTCTGGGTTAAACAATGGGGATGTAAGCAGTGGAGAAGCCCTTCCAACACTCTTCACGTTGGCTCTGTCATGATCTTCCCTCTAGGCCACTTACTATCTATGTGTTGGGATGGTGAGTACTCTTGGACACAATAGGGAGGCCTCTTGAGCTTTTATTTGTCTAAGGAAGCAAGCTGGGTAAATAACACAAGAAGGGAATGAGGTAGGAGGGACACTTACACACCACCAGTTTCTTCAGAAAGTGGCTCAGCCCACAGTGTGGCCAAAGGGAAAACATGGTGTGTGGAGAACTGAAACAAAGAACATGGACACACGCCTGAGAAAGCCCATGTGGGCCCTGAAGTTGCTGCTGCAGAACCCCTTTCAAGTGGTTAAGTCCACCTCAGCCACATCCCCATAACACAGCTAACCCAGTGGTCTCGCCATGTTTGTGGCTAGGACCCCTTCACATGGCTGACACTCATTTTCAATTTGGAAACTAAAAGAGCTCCTGGAAGTCTAGCCTGTGCCACCAAGCAAGCTAAACATTCTCTTCACTCAAGTGTTGCAGGAAAATCACAACAGTGTGTAAAATAAACTGAGGGTATGACTAATTACTCATAGTACCGCCCCTCCCATGGCCTCTTTTGAGGTGGGGAATCTAGCCTACCTGGGCATGGACTAGGGCATCATTAAAGAGAATGAACCAGTTCACAGAAAACCTCCCCGCATGCTGCAGGGACAGGGCCCGGTTGCTGCTCTCACACAGCAACCGACGCTCGGGCTTCCGCAAGGAGTCCTGGGATTGAAAACAAAAAGAAAATCAAAGTATCAAAATTATTTTATGCAAGGAGAAAAAGAAAAAAAATAAAAATCACATTTAGGAGAATTTGTTGGTCATAGCTTAGCTTGGTATTAATAAACTTAAATTCAGATGGGACCCAAACATTTCATAACAGCAGATCTTCAAGGAAAATAAAAAAAGACAGGAAAGTGGCTCAGTTGGTAAATCTGCCTGCTATGCAGGAAACCCGAGTTCAATCCCTGGGTCAGGAAGATCCCCTAGAGAAGGAAATGGCAACCCACTCCAGTACTCTTGCCTGGAGAATTTCACAGAGGAGTCAGGTAAGCTACAGTCATGGGATTGCAAGCGCTGGACACGACCATGCAACTAACTTTCACTTTCACTTTCAGGAGCAAACAAACAGAAGAGGAGACATATTCAGAAAAGATTCCCAGCGATGAGGGAAGGTGCTGATACCCAGAACCCCCATGGCTGTGGTCCTTAGATCACCCTTAGAAAAGGGGTCACTATAGCACCATTACCGTAAACAAGTGAGGAGTCAAGAAAATTATGGCAGCTATTACAGCTATGCCTGTTGTCTGTGGGGTAATGACCATTGGCATGGTTTACCGTCATTTTTCCAGGAAAGGTCTTCCAGAAACTCAATGTGTATTCTGCTTCCTTCCTTTTCCTGCCGAGATGGAGAGCAAGTGACTCATAACAAGAGCTGGAATCCTGCAGCTTCTGGTATTCTGGAGATGTCTAGAGGCCAATAATTAAGAGGTGGGGGGAAAGGATATATAACAATTGTCCAGAATTTGTAGACTCATTGTGGTTTAGATATATAGTAATAAACTTAGGGAAGGAAGCCAGCCTATGAAAAGACATGGTACACTAAAGGGAACTGAGAAAAAAAAGAAGACTGTCTCTAGAAAATTCTACCACATACAGTTACACATGTATCACATATAGGTACGTATGAAATGGGGGAAGCACTCAAGAGGGAAAAGAAACAAACACTGGCAGTTATCAGTAAAGAGAAAAGCAGAGAACTCAGGATAGGAGAGGAATTATCAATGGTTTTGGTCTCAGGATCCCTCTATTTTGCTTCTGTGGGCTATAATCTCTTGATATTTACCATATCGGAAAATAAAGTTGAAAATTTTTTAAATCTTTATTAATTCAAATATAACAACAATTAATTAAAATTAAAATTTCAAAACAAAAAAAATGTTTCATATGAAAAGTGGCATTGTTCCACATTTTTTCAAATGTCTTTATTATCTGAGTTAAAAGATGACAGCTGGATTTTCATATCTGCCACTGTATTTAATCTGTTGAGATTGTTTAGTTTAAACAAATGAAGAAAATCTTCCAACTTGCTACAGTTGGAAATATAGCTGAAATTAGATCAGTTTGGGCTAACACCAAAACCAGACAGAACAACACACCTACAAGGCCAGGTAGGATCAAACATAAAAAGGTCACATAAATTCCTAGATCATTCTGAAGACATCTGTCCTAAATAAGGATCCCAAGATATAAAAAATTCTAAACAGTAAGAAACCCTAGAATCATTATGGTTTCTCTAGAGCCTTTCGGAATGGAAACTAAAACAACACATTTCAGTACAATTTCAAAAGTAACTGTCCCAGCTTTAATATATGCTAGAGTGATGCAAATTTTCTAGGACTCCACCTAACTAGTTTTATACAGAAAGTGATCTAGTTGACATTTGAGAAAATCCTGTAACACTGCTGATTTTTCACAGCATACGTCAAAGTGACCCAAATACCTGGCATGAAGTCTACCATGAATCCAGGCCAGGTGCTAATGCCACGCCTTAGAAGGGTGTGTCATCATAGGCAGGGTTTTAACAGCTCTGTTTAACTTGTAGCTTGTGCTCAGTATGTACTCAAAGCTGGACAACTACTGAATGAGTAGCAAAACTGGGTCTCAGCTTTAGACTGACATAAAATGAATAAAGTGAATCTTGTCAAGGCCCTGAAAGGAAATTGAATCCATAGCAAAGAACACTAGATAAACCTACAGTCATACTCTTCTTTCATTTCCCTGAAGAAAAATAAATTTAGTGGAGTTCCAGATCTTGGGGTAGAATAATTCAAATAAACAACTATGATCCTTGGCTTCCCAAGTGTCCACAAGAGTTATATATGTGAGCTTACCACTTCAAAACAGGTAGCAAGTTTTAGCAAAACTTTTGCATAACTATGAAGTCGTCTGATTGGCAAGAAAAACAGAGTATTCAAAATTTCCATCAACTGGGTGTTTTCATCATCCACTTCTGATAAATCTTGCAACAGCTCCTGGTTTTTATTTAGGAAATCACTGAAGGTAGAGAAAAAAAGGGATTCAGTTAATCATTTTGATACTGACAATATGCATGATATTAAACAAGTATTTCGCCACATACTACTTTCTTCAAAATGTACATTTTTAGGTGCTATGGAAGAAAGTAACAGATGATTAATACAATGAAACAAACATGATGTAATTAAAACAATTTCCCTACCTATAAATATGGGATTTTTGAGTATAAAAAGTAGTAAATGGTAGGAACAGTAATAGATACACTGTATCTATTAGAACTGTATCTAATAGAACACTGTAATAGATACAGTGAATCACAGACTTGTGCCTAAAGTTCTAGGAAATGAGTCATACATCCCACAGTTACAGGGAATAATTGGAGACAAGCTGACACAGTTACCTGTTCATTTCCAAGTAGGAAGTCACAATAATAAGCAGCAAAACCAACTGTTCTAATCACTTGTGCTAAACATAAGTACTGGAAGAAAAACAAAGTTCTCTGCTCTAACAAAATTGGCATGGAATACTAAATACTGCTTCCTTTTTTTTCAATTTGTGATCATCTAATATTAAAAGGTATAGACGCCAGTACTACAATTAACAGCGAACAGTAAAGGAAATTATATGTGTGGATTTTAAAATCACTGAGATCATTGAAAAAACATTTCAAACTGAGACCAATATTCACTTTTCACATTAAATTATGAAGTGAAGTGAAGTGAAAGTCGCTCAGTCGTGTCTGACTCTTTGTGACCTCATGGACTATATAGTCCTTGGAATTCTCCAGGCCAGAATACTGGAGTGGGTAGCCTTTCCCTTCTCCAAGGGATCTTCCCAACCCAGGGATCAAACCCAGGTCTTCTGCATTGCAGGCAAATTCTTTACCATCTGGGCTTCTAAGTTTAGGCTTCCCAAGTGGCGCTAGTGATAAAAAATCCTCCTGCCAATACAGTAGACTCAAAAGATGTGGGTTTGATCTCTGGATCGGGAAGATCCCCTGGAATAGGAAATGGCAACCCGCTCTAGTAGTCTTGCCTGGAAAATCTCATGAACAGAGGAGCCTGGCGGGTTACAGCCCATGGGGCCACAAAGAGCTGGACACAACTGAGCAACTGAGCACACACATATATAAGTTCATGATTAAAACTTTACTGCGGATTTTAAGGCTGATTGGTAACCCACTGAGATTATCCACACCATACTAAAACACTTAAAAGATCTGTAAAGAAGTAAGAGGGTTCTTCTTTTGTGGCTCAGCTGGTAAGAATCTGCCTGCAAAGCAGGAGACTTGGGTTTGATCCCTGGGTTGGGAAGATCCCCCCGGAGAAGAGAAAGGCTACCCACTCCAGTATTCTGGCCTGGAGAACTGCATGGACTGTATAGTTCATGAGTCAGTAGAACAGAATAATCATCATCATCTGCCACTTAATGAACAATAATTATGTGCCAAGTACTGCCCTCACTGCTTTGTAAGCACGATACTATAACTCTTAGCTAGAATGCTTCAAAAACAAAACAAGGTCACACAAGACTATAAAACAAAAATGAGATTTTTATAATCCCTTAGAGAACTATGGAATAAAGAGATGCTTAACTCAGAAATTATAAAATATTATCTTGGAAAGATGGAGAAATATGTAATAATTTCCAGGAACCCCTAAGTTCAATGTCACAAAGTGGACTGCTGTATAATGTAATTAAGAGATCTTGGAGAGTGTGCTACAGGGAACATGGCCCAGATTTTTGTTTATATTTGGCGTGTTGAGTGGTCCTACTTACTCCTCCATGTTCTGCTGGGGGAACTTGTTTAACCCTACAGAAGTATTCTGCTTTGACCAGCTCCTGAGAGATGGAGATGGTACATGGTGAACACATACTCCCTCTGCCCACATTTCTCCTGGATGCCCAGTACTAGACCAGGAATATTCCAACTCTTGTGAACCCTATTATTTTTCTGGACTCACTGAAGTACTTGCCTATAAATTTTCCCAAAAGGAGCCCTAGTATGCTCTCAGAAATCCTCAACTACTCTGTTTAGCATATTTTCTCTTGGGAGTTTTTAATCCAATAGTGGCAATATTGCTCTTTCTTTATATGGCTAGGTTTGCACTTGTTACCCAAAAAATATATTAAAGGTAGAAAGAACAGAAGTGTCCGTCAACAGATGAATGGACAATCAAAATGTGGTATATTCCTAAAATGGAATATTATTCAGATACACAATGAGATGAAATCTTGATATATGGTATCACATGGATGGACTTTGAAAACATCATGCTTAGGGAGATAAGTCAGACATAAAAAGACAACTACTGTATGATTCCACTTATGTGAGGTACCTAGAGCAGGGAAATTCAGAGAGACAGGAAATAGAATAGAGGTTACCAGGGGCTGGTGGAGGAGGGGAAGTCATTTTTAATGGGCACAGAATTTTTGTTGGGGATGATAAAAAGTTTTGTGTATAGATAGTGGCTTATACAACATGTGAATGTACCTGATGCCACAAAACTGTACCCTTAGGAATGGTTAAAATGATAAATATTATGTATATTTTACTACAATATTTAAAAAAAAAAACTTCATGAAGATCAAACTACCATGCTAGTCTGAGGTGAGTGTCTAAGTGATAAACCAGCTGAGTGAGGAAAATGTGGGCAGGTTCACTACCTGCCTGTGGGCCCAACTAGTTATGATCTAGAGATTCTCAAATGGTTCTTTTTAAATCAATATCTTAAAATTCTCATCTTGTAAACAGAAGTTAAAAAAGAAGTTATTACTGCCTTTAACTATGTAAAACCATGGGATTCATGAACCACCACTTCGGAAAGGCTGCCCAAATCCAAATTTAACATCTGCTGCCATAGCTCAGAGTCACCCAGAGTTCATTAATTGCTTTCTACCCATCCAGGCTCTAGGAAGAGGCTTTCACTTATGTTATGGTGAACTTGACTCTGAAATACTAGCTTTTCCTAGGCACTCAAAAACACAGACTGCTATAAAACATGTTCTTTGTTTGTTAGAATAACTGGAGACTATGTATTTGCTTACATGGCAGGTTTAGCAAGAAGCTGGAATCCTCCCATAACCAGGAAATTTGTAATAGATGTGCAATACCTTGAGCAAAAAAGAAAACACACAGATATTAGTGTAAAAGTAAATCTGCTCTTCAGAGTTTTGAACAAGCATCTGTAATTAGATACCTCTTGGTATCTAATGAGTGAGTTTCACTTCAGAACTTTGTGATATTAACAATCACGAACTAAGTAGGGCACGTTATGTGATTATCACAACAGTCAGGAGTAAAAGGCCATTTTAGTAAAGATGTTAATAGGAATTTTTTAAAAAACACTTCAAGCTATGCAGAAGATGCTAGAATTTATTTGGTATGTTTTACTTTGGTAATTTAACAAATGTGAGAAAATATGATTTAAGTTGTTGGATTTTAAAAAAATTCTAATCTTCACTTTAAGTTTTCCATTTAAGTCTTCAGAAATAAACAATAGGGAAGGTAAGAATATATGTTTAAAAGAGCTTAAGCGAAAAAGTGTTAGAAACTGTTGGTAAAGTACTGATTTACAGTTAAAGAGGAAGTCGTGACATACATTTCTTCCACACTTCTTGGCTGGCAAATAAAATCAACTGACTCTGACTAAGAAGGCAAATTCCTACTAAAAACACCCCAAGGTACTGAACACTTAAAAACAGTTACAATGGTAAATTTTATGTTATGTGTATTTTACCACAATTAAAAATAACTTTTAAAATTCATATACAAATCAAGTTTTTTACCTGCCCAGTCTATATGAATACATTTAAAAAACCCAAGGACTCAAAATAAAAGCATGTCCAAGCATAAGTCCTGAAGTATTATAGCAGAAAAAGAAAAATACACATAAGATCTATACAAGTCAAAAAAGAAAAATTAATACCAGTAAAAGCTGAAACCTTCACACATATAAAAATCTAGTTTAAAAAAGTAAATTCATATCAAATTATGCTACTTTTTATGTCTGAAAGAAGATGAGTTAGAAGACTAGCAAGGGTATTTCCTCCCAGACAACAGCCAACAGCTTCAGATATATTCAGTTTTGTTTAAAACTAAAATGACATACATCCATCTGCACATTTATGCCTAAGTCTGTAAAGAAATACACTATTAACAATGGCTGTTTCTGATAGTAGGGTTATGAGTGACTTTAAAATCAATACTTCAGATCAATAGCATAACCTAATACACATGAAAGTAATACTTAAATTATGCCTCACATCACAATGCCAAAATGAAAATGCAAAATGCTAAAGAAAACGTGAGAAATACTGAATATTTCAAAAAAAGTTGGGATATTTTACCTGAAAAATATGAAAAGAACCTTGGATCACTATCCTAGGTTTTATTACAAAAAGATCTTTATTTTTAAACCCTCCTTTACACAACAGTGAAAAGCAGGCACTGGAAGAGCTCCATATTTACAATCATTAGTTGATCTTAAAATAGTGTTTACTTATTTCTTCAAATTTTAGTATAATTTATTTAAGTATAAAACTGTTCTCTAAAGAGCCATCTTTATTATAGTACATTTTGTAAATTAAGGATACTATCATTCTGCTAGAATGCAGAAGGAAATTTGAGAATCCATTATTTTTTTTTTTAATTTTCCTCTCTTAGAGCAAACTAAAATTGTAGTGATGTGGAGCTATATAGTTGTCTTAAGATTAAAGCACTGCTTTGCAATTTCTATTACCTTATAGAACTCTCCCTAATCTAGTCTCTTCTGATTAAGGAGCTGTTCTCCTTGGCAGAATAACCCTGCAGAGACTGAACATGACACGGACTGGATACTTGCTCTGTATAACTATCCAAGAAGAGACTTGCATGCTTCAGGATGACCAAACTCCTGGCTTCCTTTATCCCCTGAAGGAAGCTGCTCAGTGAGGTTCCATGCTGACCAATTAGGTAACACAGCTTGCTGAATCGGCTTGCCACTTCCTGCAACAGCTGGACTGTATTTGCAGTGCCCAGATTTTCTGGAACAAAACGATGATGATGATAACATAACCTAAAGACTCATTATATAAATACTTTCTTATGATCAAGATTATGAATTTTCCTTTACTAAAAATTCTTAACATGTTGAAATGGACTCTCAACTATGGAACCCAAATAATCACAGTGCTTAAAATGCAGAGATTAGTGTCCAGTCATTTCAAGAACTTCTTAAAAACACATTCATGGAACCCCTACAGATTCTGACTCAGCAGACCAGAGTTTAAACACCAAGATGGATTTTTTTTTAAAGTGCTTTCCAGGTAATTCTGAAGACCAGCCAATATTTGATAACCACTGTGGTAATCCAACTCTCTTCTCATCTTGAAGCCAAATCTTCTAAGGCCAAGGGAAAGGAAGTGAAATATCTACCTTTACACAACTGGTTAGTAGCAGCCAGGAATTAAACTCACTTCTATAGCTATACCTTTGTCAACATTTCCCACTTTTACACTGACTTCAGTTCTGCTTGCCCCCTGGATATGCCCTGCCCTTCCATGCTAAGGAAAAGATTCCAAAAAGGTTGCCTTTGATCAAGATAGTCTAAGATGGACTTAGACTGCCTTGGTTACTCTTTAACTTTATAAAGCACATCAGATTACTACTTTTTCCCAGTCCAAAACACCCAATTTGCAGGACTTCTCTCTAAGCAGTGAGGCTGATAAGCAGACCACATGAAACCAATATAGAAATCAGGACTCAGAATAGGAAAAGGACAGGTTTCACTTTCCTTTCAGAGCAATCCAGGAAGCTTCCAGCTTGGACTGCTTCCTATCTCTTGCCAAAGTACTAGGGAGCTGGGCCCACCCACTGGAGGAGAATTTATAGAACAGGAACTCTACAACATTTAAAAAAAGCAAAACATGTTAAAAACAAAAACAAATGCTGTCTCCAGTTTATGTAGGGACTGAATTCAGAAAGACTGTAAGTTAGTTGTTTGAAAAATAGATATTTTCCCATTAAAAACAATGGACTGACCTACACAAGCCAATGTCACCCTAATGTGGAAAAATGATGCATGAATAGAGCACAATTTAAGTACTAGAGTACTGGTCTGAATTCTGTGGCCTCACAGGGGGTCAAGGAGTTCAGGTGAATGAGAGAGAAAAAAGGTCCTTTCCATTTTCTGAGAGTAGGGTCAAACCTACAAAAGCTTTTGACTAGGGGAAGTTAATCTTTAATAGCCCACCTGCTCATCTCCATTCTGTATTCATTTACCTCCTGGAGACCCCAGTATTGTATTTCTAGACAGCAGGACCCCATCGAGGACCACTCCATATTTTCTCCATATTATCTCCTTACCTTCAATCCCTGTTGTCACTGATTACAGCTAAGAGATAAGATTTAATCAGTTTCTGCTAATGTTGGGGATAAGATCCTTAATGCTCTTACAGTTATTCACATTTTGAGATACTACTTGTAAATCCAAATGAAGTTCTACTTGATAAAATTCTAAGAAGCAGAACAAAGAAAATGAAAACTTGGAGTAGTATATAAGCTATCTTGGGGCTTGCCTGGTGGCCTAGATGGTTAAGAATCTGCCTGCAATGCAGGAGACCCGGGTTTGACCTCTGGGACCAGAAGATCCCCTGGAGAAGTGAATGGCAACCCATTCCAGTATTCTTGCCTGGAGAATTCCACGGAGAGAGGAGCCCGGCGGGTTATAGTCCAAGGGGGCCTCAAAGAGTTGGACATGACTGAGTGACTAACACTTTCACTTTACACTTTTAAGGTATCTTAGAAATAATGCAGCTAGAAGTGTTGTTTAGAAGTCTGACTCCTAGGATCAACTGTTCCACAGTTGCTCTACTTCTCTGTCACGGGTCTTATGAAAGCTCCGTTTCTACTCCATAAGTAACAGGAGCTCTGGGGGTGCCAGGATAGGGGAGCTGGGCTATCAGCAAAGACGAAATGGCTTGTAAGCTGTTGACCACCTGGGCACAAAAAGAAGAGACTGGAAAGAAAGGAGCAGAGTACAACTCAAACAAAAAGTTTTCTTTATTTGTGATATAGGAAAAAGAGGTAAAACAAGACTCTTGATAACTGACTGGCTGGAAGAGTGGAGGGGGAAGTTCTACTTACCTAAGCCAAGAAGAGGCCTGAGAATCTGGGACTTGATATCACTTAGTTTTGAATAGAAGCGTCTTTCAGTAGTAGCCAACTCATGGAGACTGGCAATATATCCCATAATGTTTTTGTCCACCAAGGCTAGATAACTGTCTTTTCCTGCTGTCACTCTGCTTATATATCCAAGCTAAAACAGAAGAAAGAGATTAAAGATAAAATCTAATTTACTAGCAGTAATTTGGGCACTGGTGAGAGCCAACAGCTAACTACATAGGAATTCTGCAGCAATTTGGTTATTAAATCATTAGTAGTTTGAAAGTAGCAATACTGAAATTTACAAAAAAAAACCCCACAAAACTGGAAAACATTACAAATCAGAACTTTTGAGTCTACTTTGATGTTTAGGACTGGTTTACCAGTATACTGTTGTTATATACATATAACACAATCTATATATAACTATAAACATCTATACTATTATATATTGTCGTAATACCTTTTATTTCACTTTACACATAGTTAGAACCACAAATACTCTAAATATACAAAGATCCAAATGATACAAACACATGTCTCAGGACTTCTTTTTGCATGAAACAGATGAGAGCAGAGACCATTTCTATGCTGTATGTCAAAATATCAAGGATCTAGGAGTTATATTTTAAAAGTACAATAGAAAGGGATTTTCTTTAAAAGTGGACTTTGTCATTTATTCATGATGGCACTGAACAAAAACATTTGATGTCTTTGTCACACATCCCAATTAAACTAGGCAATCAAGCTGCAGGCTCAATACACTATTAAGAGCCCATGGTAACTAAAGACACAGACTGAGCCTCATCTCTTTCACCAGCCCATTTCATCCTTTACCTGGACTGTGGAATCTTTAATGAGGAATGTGGAGTCAGGGCCAAGAACTACAAAGAGTCAATTAGTATGTCTGGAATAACAGGCTATATACAGGTCAAGAGTCAAATCTTGGCCAGTGTTACCTTTAGCAAGAAAGATCTTGCCCTTATATACAGCCACAATTACATATTCAGCCAGAAAAACAAAGGATTAAAAAAAAAACAAAACAGTCCATAGGATATATTATTCAGTAAGAATAAAAAACCCAGAATGCACAAGCTTTGAAGGTTAATTTCCTTGCAATGTTGTGAGGAAAAAGAAAACCAGGAACAGACCAATGGTATTAAGTTTAAGAAAAAGAGGTAAGTAGTAGGAAAGCAAATAAATTCAGATCAACAAAGGAAAAATAAGCTACAGTAGTAAACAAAAGAAAAAGCTGAGAGACGATGGTAACAGATGGGAAACAGCACTGTTGGTGGCCTGTCAGGTCTGCCACGAGCCCATCTCAGGCCCCTGCAATTTTCACTTTCTACTAACAGTTAAATATCCATTAATCAACTTCTATTCTGATTCATTTCTGAGGACTCCATAAACACAGTCAGAAAACTTTGCTGTGAAATAAGTATTTTTAATATTCCTATGTGAGGGTGTTATATCAATAATTATTTATAAAAGTATTTACTTCAACAAATATTTATGAAAGGTATTTATAAAAGAGGATACAGCTGTAAATGAGAGAGCTTAAAATCCCTACTCTAATGAATTTTACAGTTAAGGAGGACAGACAATAAACAAAGTAAGTAAACTCTATAGAGGGTGAGATGATGATATGCAATGTAGAGAGAAATAAAGCAGGAAAAGGAGATGAGGAGTGAAGGGGGATGGGAAGTGGTTTGCAATTTTAAATACATTAGTCAGGGACACTTAGTATTAGGCATACATACAAACAGCAACAGAAACAAAAGACTCCTCATGTGTTACAGGATGTGGGCCTTAGGATCTAATTCCTGTTCACCTTACTACAGGAGAGAAGGACCGGCATCTTAGTACCACTGTGATTCTCTGGAAGGCTGTCACCTTCTGTTGGGTCCTGTCGGCCACTGTAACATAACCCAGGCTGGAAGTCTTCGGTATCCACTAAAAACAGGGAATAATCCTGGCCTGCAGCCATACTCCAGACTCCATTTTCACTGTTCACCTGCAATGACAGGAAGACATGTCTGTCTGAGATGAAGGAATCATATGCAACTCCAAGTCCACAATAACTAGAACGTTAGGTTACCTGAACAAGTGGAATAAAAGTTAGTCACATCTCAGAGGGCAAGACTTACCCAGAAATGTACCCAGAAACGTACCCAATCAACTGAAGAACAGATGCAGCAGTGAAAAGGAACCCTGTTCAACCAGTAAATGTAGAACTGGATTGTTCTATAAAAAACTGAAAAACTGGAATTCAAAAAGAAAAAAAACATACATTTGATATTTTAACTGTTCTTTTTGGAAGCTGTCATAGGACTTAGCTTGTACTACAATCAAAGACCCAGAAACTTGTAGAGTCCTATTCTGACAGCTAGGACACACCTTTGTCCATTCATATTCTGCTATGTACACAAAAATCAAGGTAAAAAGAAAACCTAACTAGGCTAAATCCCATTCTGGCCAACTAAACCCATGGGTGCTAAAACTGCTTTCTCACTTGGAACTCACTAACTCTCTCACATGACTGCACTGTGTCCCTGGATGCTGCAACAGGCAGAACGCCTCAGAAGCCCATCTACAGGGATCCCCTAGACCAACGGTGCTCAACAGGAAGCTTCTGCAGCAGCAGCAACAATCATCTAGGAACATGTGAGAAATGCAAACTCAGGCCCAGAGCCTTTGAAGGGAGGGACTGGGCGGTCAGCTTCGACAAGTGCTCCACGAGTTTCTGATATACGCAAAAGTCTGAGAACCACTGCTCCAAACCAATGGCTTCAGGTTTCCGGGATTCCAGGTAGTGATTCAGGAGCCACCATGGAAAGGCAGGTGCCCGGGTTCTATCCCCACCCACCTCCATCCTTCAACTAAGACAGTCCCACAGTTATCTGTTTTAGGTAGGGGATTCAGCACAAGGTTTCATCTGAAGGAAGTGATCTGCTATGAAAACTACTGCCCCATCCTGCAGACCCAGCTTCAGCCACGACTTGTGTAACAATAAAGCAAAAAATTTCTAATCTTGAGATTACGTGTCTAGATTTGGTTCACATCCTGGGCGATTAGGTGACAGTTTGTGAGTGACTATCACGCACATCTCCACTACTTTACAGTTATCCTCTTCAGGCATGACCTTATCTTCTCAAATTCAGGTTATCTATAAAACTGACTTCCTGCTGATTTTGCAAAGAATGAATTAAAATTGTTGCAGGAGGAAAGAGTCGTCTTCCTAGTTTCTAAACAAAACTAACTCAGGTCTCACTCTGACTTGATTTTAATTCACACATTAATTTAAATGACTTCAAAATAATTTTCTCAAATAAAAAACCAAAATAAAACCTCCCCCCAAATAAAGACCAAAATCATGATGCTGTATTTTCAGAGGTATAGGTAAAGAGTAATGAAACTAGAACGTCATAACAAACTCTATTCTCTCTTGTCCGATTCTAAAATGTTAAATAAAAATTGTATTTCCAGCATCTCCGTGCTGGATTATAAAACTTTTCTTAGTAGGAATATAAGAATGTTCTAATTTATTCAAATGAACAGAAAACAAGAAACAATGATTTACCATATTTTTATTTGTAATAAAATATCAGAAACTGAATTTGTTGTTCAGTTGCCAAGTCATGTCCAACTCCTCAGGACGTGCTATTCGAAACTGAATAGTTTACCACTAAAACATTTTATGCTAAAGATATTTAAGATTGGAGCTAGAAATAACAACTGTTCTGTAATGTTTCATTTAAGTCTTTCCTTGCCAGTAAAATTAGTTCACTGAAGGAAAGGCAACAGGTAAAGGTCTTATGTAGTGATGGATGCACAGTGTACACTGAATACATGAATCACTGGAACATGTATTAACCGTAGCTTATATTTTGAATCATGTTCCTGAAACTGAAGTAAACATCCCATTCTAGTCTCTAATACTCGCAGGGCAGAGAGCATGCATCAGATGGAGAGGATTCAAACTACGAACACATGAGCCCCATATCCCATTCTCTTAGGCTACTGGGCTATCATCATGCCTACTCTGCCCACAACACATCCACTCCCAAAACAAACAGATCTTATACGAGGAGTCAATACTACTGATGAATTTTGCATTTCTGCAGAATGTTGTGACAGAAAAAAAAGGTTGAGAAACAGTCCTCTAAAACTGCACCCATTATATAAACTAAAACCAATTCATATAGCAGTAAAGAAATTATACTTTTAACTTCCCTATAGAAAACAAAAAGGGTTACAAAAAGGTTTTACTACTGTGTACATAAAAACAAAACAAAACAAATGATCAAGTAGTATTATGTAAAAGTTACACTTAAAAAAAAGTCAAGCTTAGGTGAGAAGTCAGAGTAGGCCTTACGTGGTAGTATAAAACTTAGACGTCAACCTCACAGTACAAGAAACATTTGCTTTAAAATAACTTGTTCATTTTTACTTACAAAAAAACCAGAACTATGAATACTTAGTGAAGTTAAGAAAAAAAGAAATATTAATACAAACTAACACATCAAAAATGGGAACATTTTGCCTGAAAACAAGCAGTTTCAGTTTTTTAAAAATTTAATGTATGTGATAACAAATAGGTTACAAGTATGCAATTCTCCTAATTTTATAAAACATGAATTGAAGAAATATGAAGTGTTATAACTTAGAATTCTGGAATAAGTTGCTATAAAAGTCATCAAGGTTATAAAAGTACCTTTGCAAGACGGGGAACTGTTGTTGGAAAATCAGAATGCCCAAGTTGACCAAAGGTGTTGCTCCCCCATGAGTAAACCTATTAGAAAACCACAGGAAAGTAGGTAAGAGATGTGACACTGATTTTTGCATGCCAATTCTGAACTTTTATAATAACACATATATACCAACAGTTACACACAAATTTCTTATCCTAGTCTTCAACTCTTTAGAAAATTCATTTTAACTAACATTTCTCAGGAGTTTATTACCTGCCAGGCACTGTTCTTAATATACTTTCTGTGTATTAATTAATGTTTCACTATCACACAATCCTTCTTTTTTAACATATAAGGGAATTGGCCCAGAGAGGTCACAAATTTTCCAGGATTTAATCCCAGGAACTATCCTATACTGCCTCTTATAAAGAAAGTGATTTTTAAAAATAAAGCTAAGTACCATGAAGGAAAAAGGAATCACAACTCTTTATTCTGTGGACACAACTCCTGTCCACAGAATAAAGTCGTTCCTATGGAATGACTAGAAAGCTTTTCATTTATAAGAATCACTGCAGGAGAAGCACAAAGCACCTATGCTCTACTAAAGGCAAAAAAACAACCAGATTACAGTAACTATGCTTAATGCAAATGATTTTGTTTATTCTGATTATAAAAGCAATTCATAACCACCGTACAAGACTGTGACAATACAAAGCAACAAAAAGAAAGTGAAAACTACTAATGAACCACCCACTCAGAGACAACTCCTACCTTGTTCTAGGAACATACACATATATAATTCCAGAAATTGTATTATCTACTATATATAATGAATATACAAAATGTAAAGTGTGAAGTGGGACTCTACTATCAATGCTGCTTTGTGACCTGATGTTTTTTATGTAATGCTCTGCGCACTGACATCTTTCTAGGTCAATAAGTATAGAGCTACAGTGTCATTTGTAACTATATGAAATTCCACTGTGGGTGTAGTTTAATCAATTACCTAATGAGGTAAGTATATTTATTAATAATTTCTTTCCAATTACTTAAGGTAAAAATTCATTAAAATTATATATATATTTGTATCTATTTCCTTAGGATAAATTCCTAAGCAAAGAACTTTGGGTCAATGAACATACACATTCTGATTTTTGCTATATACCAACAAGCTGTCTACCAGCAAAGTCCAATTTACATTCCCACCAGCAATGTGTATACCTTTCCCCCACATCCTCACCAACACTTAGCATTAAATGCAATCCCTGCTAATCTGATGGGTGAAAAAATTTTGTTTTAATTTAAATTTGCTCACTGAGTAGCTGACCATCTTTTGTTGCTGGCTACTTCTATTTTTTCTTCAGTGAATGGAATATAAATGCTCTTAAACAATTTTTCTTTATGGATCAGGTCATATATGTTACAATGTTTTTCCCCATATGTATCTTAAATTTGTTTGTGGGGTTTTTTGGTTTGTGTTTAGGTTTTTGCTGTGTGGGACTGTTGAATTATTATTGTAGATAAACATATATATCTTTACTTTCTAATTTCTGGTTTTGATGTTGTATCTTTTTCTACTCCTAAGATTACTGAAAAAATATGTCACCTAAGTTTGTTCTTACACATGTCAAGTTTTATTTTTTAACATCTAGACCTTTACTCCACCCAGAATTAGAATATGTAAAGTTTTCTTAATTTTCTTCTGCAGATAAGAAGCCAGTGGTTCCAACAGTATTTACTGAATATTGTCTTGTTTCTCCACCTGATCTGAAATGCCTACTTTTTAAAATTTTTTATTTTTTAATTGAAGGATAACTGCTTTACAGAATTGTGTCAATTGCTGCCAAACACATGTACACCTGTGGCTGATTCAGAATGCTGAAATGCCTACTTTTTATCACAGACTAAATTCTCATATATACTTGTGACTATTTCTAGTCTATAGTGTATTTCTGTTATAATAATCTGTTTGTAGTTTTGTAATATGTTTTATAAGGCTAATGCTTTCTTTTTCAGAATTTTTGTGGCTCACCTCCTTTGTTTATTCTCCTAGAATAATTTTGGGAATCATTTTATTAAGCTGTAAATATTATATTGGAATATTCTGGGGATAGTAGTGAATTTATACTCTACTAATTTAATGATCTAGAAGAAATGGCATTTTTGCAATGTTCAGTCTTCTCATCTAAAAATAAAATTTTTCCCTCTTTACTATTCTCTTTTATAACTTAGAAGAGTTCTTGAATTTGTGTCATGTGGGCTCTACACTTTTCCTATTAACAATGTTCCTATTTCCTTAACACTTTTGTTGTAATTGTGAACAGCTTTTTTTTTCCTTAAGCATGCTTTCTGCTTTACTTTATGTATTTAAGAAAGCTAGCAATTTTTACGTTTATTTTGTAACTTACCAACTTTCTATTTTCTTATTTTTAAGGCTTTTTGATGATTCATCACATTAATAACAAATTATCCTTTTCTTTGCTAATATTTATATTTATTTATATGAGCTATAATAGCTTTTTGGTGAGACTATTATGTCATATTTAAAACATTTAAAGTGTTTAGAATCTTTTACTGACTTTTATAGCAAGATAAAGAATCATTATATGAATACATTTAAGAGTTAAGTTTAAAAATCTACCTTTCTCAGAAGGATTTGTGTATGTGGGCATGGTTTTAAATGATTCTGGAGGTCACTTTCAGGTCTCACAATTTTAAGAGAGAAATGCCTTCTGTTTTCTTACTGTCTGACATAAGTGTTTTCTTCGTCAAGAAATAAAAGTTTACCAATACCTTAGAAAACTCTTGAGTTCTATTTTTCCGTAAGAGCACATTATAAAAGCTTCTCTGTCAAGCAGCCCAGTGTTAAATCCAAACTCTACAGTCACACATGTGACTTTAGCCAAGTTACACAACTTCTCTAGACCTCCCTTTCCTCACCTATAAAACGGAAATAATACAATGCAATGTAAAACACTAAAAAGATCAAATGAGATATAGGATTGTTGCCTGACATACAGCAGATAAGATTCTCAACAAATGACAGTCTAATCTCATCATGCTGGTCTTTCATGAAATCAAGATCAGCTTTTAATAGTTTGCCTCCTACCTGGGATTTTGCAGTAAGTGCAAGAGAATGGTAACCACCTGCCTCCAGATGGATTACTTCTTTACCATCCAGACATTTTACACATAATGGTTGAAGCCTTAAAGAAAAACATACACACATACACACAATCTCAGAGTAAGAAGTATTCTCAGCAAGAATCATGGACTTTCTCAAATTATAAATGCTTTCAAGTAAAAGTAAATATTTTCAAAAAAATTAAAAATACTGGATTTATATTCAATCTACTCCTAAATATAAGTAATTTTAAATGGTTTTAATTTAATCTTTGTCTATTAATCACTAATTCACCACCATAATTCAGAATCTATTAAGAATCATAAAACAACTAAATGATTCATATGGCAGAGAGTGTATTTTTTAATGAATTAGGTGCTTTCACTCTGCTAAGGAGAAAAGAGACATTTATATTAACTGGCTGTTTTAGATAATCATTCTATTTACACACTTTTATAAATATTTATTGCTAATATCAAAAGAATTTCTCTTAGAACAGTTTTTCCATGATACACATGAATAGACATGGTTTAATACAGTGGTTATAGTTATTTTGGCAGCAGCAGATAGACCTCTTTCAAGTTAAGAAAACTGTTGGTTCTTTTTTATAAGTTAAAAACGTGAAACATTCACACGTTCCAGTGACATATAATCTTATCCCAAACACCCCTTTCTGCATTCTAACATGAATAAACATCAAAGAAGAGATGGAAAAATACACCATGGATACTTCAGTCCTTTATTGTTAGGAACAAATTCAAGACTAAGAATGATTGGGGGGAGCAGGTGGTGTTTGTTTTGGTTTTTTATCAGAGTTAATGGTGTATAACAACCTAGAGCTAGAAGGGACCAGATTTCCTCCAGGAGGAAGTGGAGATTTGGAGACCTTCAAGGGAGAGAAGTTATTTGTTTAAACTAATGCCTAACAGTAAACACTGGCAGCACTCACCTGGGCAGAACATCGCCATGCCCCAGCTGTCCTTCCTTCCCCTTCCCCCAGGTCCACACCTCTGTTCTCAGAGAAGGCAGGAGCGCATCTGCTTCTCCACTGTATGTCGGGGTCAGAACCACCGTTCGAGTTTTCACCCGTGCCGCTTTCCTCAGGAGTCTGGGCGAGACTGAAAACAAACCAGAAATATCATGAGGGAACAGACAGATGAGAAGAAAGGTACCATTTTAAAAAACTGTTGATTTTCAAGAAAATATACTAACATGATATTTGTGAAGCATATTCTATAGGTTCGCTGCAAAACTGGGGATTAAGTGAGTTTGGTAAATACTGCCTACTACATTCTTTCTTCCCGCCCCTGTGGAGATTCACACACACACATTAGCATGCTAAAGGTACAGACAAGTCCTGCAATTAAAAGCCATGTTTAAAGTTATTTAGCCCTACCCCACTTCCAAGCATTTGGCCACAAAATTCTTTTCGGTACATTTTTTATACAGAATGGCTATATGACATCTTATGTAACTGGTATTCTAAAGAACAAGCTTAACAAAGTACTACACTAAGGCTAAGAAATATTTCTTCCATGTCAAAGCAAAATTAAAAGTAAAGCTTTTCCAAATGAAGGTCTTAAGTTCAAGCATGTTATAAATATTGTTATAAATATTGTTAACAAAAGATTTACTTTAGACAAAGTGTTCAAGTTTCTAACTAAGAAAATGGTTATGAATGAGAAATGCTAAAAAGCTTTTGTATTTTGCCTGCTAACTTTATTTTACAGAGAACTTCATCTTTTAAAAAAGAATGCTGACATCTTTTACAGTGTTCTAAAGGAGAAGGCCATGGCACCCCACTCCAGTACTCTTGCCTGGAAAATCCCATGGACAGAGGAGCCTGGTAGGCTGCAGTCCATGGGGTCACTAAGCGTCAGACACGACTGAGCGACTTCACTTTCACTTTTCCCTTTCATGCACTGGAGAAGGAAATGGCCACCCACTCCAGTGTTCTTGCCTAGAGAATTCCAGGGACGGGGGAGCCTGGTGGGCTGCCGTCTATGGGGTCGCACAGAGTCGGACACGACTGAAGTGACTTAGCAGCAGTAGCAGCAGCAAATTATACCAAAGGCTGTTATAACACAGTGCAAATCTTGTACACCAATCTGGTGACAGACTGTTTTGAAGAAAATCATCAAGTGTCACTAAGTACGGACTCAGTCACTTGATCATTAAGTTGTGGGTCACAAAGAAAGTGATCATCACTGGCAAAGATTACAATCTTTTCTGCTGAGTGTGCCACTAGCTTATACAAGGTTCATAAGCAGAAGCATGTATCATGAAAAAGTGAGGGTCTAAAGTTATTTCTAAAGCACAGTAATATGTAACTTTAAAAAATTAATTAATGAAATAAATTTTGATATTTGAATATGTTAACTTTAGTAATTAAGAAAGCAAATTTATTAAAACACAATATGTGATGTCAGGAGCATCCTGGATTCACCAGAAGTCAGCTCACAAAAGCGAGCTGTTCCCTCACCTTGTGACAACAAGCCAGGGAGAGACAGTCTTCGGCTGCCTCCTTCGGACTCTTCTTCTCTGATGTCCACAAGACTTGAGCTCTTCTTCCCTTGCATTGACTCCTGTTTGACCTGTTCTTCTCTGCTATCTTTCAGACCTTCTGGGCCTATGGAACTGCTGCCTGCCAGAGCTCCAGGCTCACAAGGGGCTGCACTGTAAAAGTTCATAACTTTCTTGAGAGACAAGGCCCCAGCTTCATACGTAGCGGCCACTCTCACACCAACAGCAGACGCACAAGAGACCACCAGGCTGTTGAGGGCGGAAGTGCTCGTGGTCGGCGGGCTGTGAAGGTTAGGGATTGCTGCTTCCACAAGAGGCTAAAATACACACACATAAAACGGCATGTAAAAATACAATCCCTTACACAACAAATAATCAATAAAGAGAAAACATAACACCTATCACTATTCGCAAATGTAAGACTCTAAAACAGGTCTTCATCTCCAACCTAAACGTATCCCTTCTTGATCATGTACTTAACACATTTATATGGAAAAGAGTACTCAAAATACAGTTCCTTATAAAAAGTACTTCCTTTTGTTTAAGTGGGATCTATCATGGGATTTAAAAATAAGTTCCAGCTGCTTTATAAAATAAAACACAGTAGAGGGGAGAGGGGAGGGAAGGTATGAAAACGAAGCCTTTAACATGAGGTAACAGCCCTGGATAGGAGGCTGAAAAAGTGTAAGCTTTACTATTGTTCACTACTAGGAAAAATTATACAGACTGCTACTAAGAAATTATGAAAAAAAAATTCAATTTTAAGAAAATTCTATTTTAGGCTTTTCCTAAAATACTTTATAGACAGAAATTTATATATGGCATACAAAGACAGAGGAATAAGCTATGTCTCTAAATTATCAGCCCCCAAATAATGTTTTGGCGTTTATGCTCTCCTACTATCTCATCAGGAGTTATCTTCCATGACCCAGGCACAAGGTAAACTGAAAAGATTACCTTTGCTCTCGTTACCAGTGAGTGATGTGGGAGGCTAATCATTAAACATTTGGATCCAACGTGCTCAGTGTTATTCACAGCTGTATTAGAAAGCTAACTAAAGTTTTCTGGTATCTTAGTGAAAGATCAATTAAAATGTACTCTGAGCTGTCAAGCACCACTGCTTACTAAAAAAGATAAGCCTACTAACCCACACGAAAAGCTTTTGGTTTATGAGCACAGGTCACAGTGAAAATTTTGTTTCCTATGCTAACCAAATATCCCAGAGGTGTGGGTATGCGCACATGTGTGTGTATGTGTATTTCTTCATTCATCCTGAATTGCAAACCAAACCCCCCATTTTTAACACTGGCTTCTGCTTTTCTTACAGGAAATAATTCCTGTTCCCTGCATAGTGTCTGACATGTAGTAGGCACTCAACACATTTTGGTGAATTAAATACTAAATTCAGAAGTACCACTTCTGTGTGAGTCTTTAATTAAAATATCCAACAAAATAAACAAATAGACCATATTAAAAAAGTTAAATACAAAGTCTATCACTTCCTTGGTAACACAGTTCCCATGATAACGTGTTCAGAAAAACTAGTGTTGCTACTCCACTCTCTATTTACAAACACTCATGGGTGGTGCTATCTGGTAAAAACCCGCCTGCCAATGCCAAAGCAGGAGACTGAAGAAACGCAGGTTTGCTTCCCGGATTGGGAAGATCCCCTGGAGAAGGGCACAGTAACCCATTCCAGCACTTCCTGCCTGGAGAACCCCATGGACAGAGGAGCCTGGCGGGCCATAATCCATAGGGTCGCAAAGAGTCGGGCAGACTGAAGTCACATTAACAGCATGCATACAACAGAAGCTGTAAGAGTGTTGGGGTGACTGGCTTCGGGAGGTCCTAGCGTCAGGCTCAGGAAAACTTAAAAAAAAAACACCTCTACCTTATATAAACTTTAAACTATCATCTTAATTTGCTCCTCTACTTAACTACATTTAACAATTCATAAAATAAGTAAATAAAAACACATGCCCAGCAATTCTGACAAAAGACACAATTTTAGTAGTCCCAGTCAGTAAAATTCAATAATGACATATGCATCATTACCAAATACTTTGGCTTATTTCATAATATGTGATATTCTTTCAGTTACATCTGGCCAGAAGAAGAAAAGACTCATCCTAGGCTCCATAAATTCCTAAGGGTTAGCTGTGTGACTGAGACACTATTTACAAAGATGAGTGAGTTACACTTAGCTACACACACACTGCCGAAACTAGCACAAGTAACCAAAGCTTCACATGTTTAACCAAATGACTGGGTCCAGAGAAAAGTGCAATTTCAATGACAATCTACTAATCAAATAAACAGTACAAAATAAACTTTTAACTTCAACTTTAACAAATCAGATGAATGACCTCTGATGTCAAAATCTAACTTTTTTATTAGCATGCACAAGTCCTGTTAAATTACTACTTTCACTTTGTTTAGACTTCCCTTTCTTTCTCCAAACAGCTTCTTAACTGAAAAAAAAAAAAAAAAAAGCCAAATATCTACAAGGTTCAGAAAGTAGACTGAAATAAAGACTGTTTCTGAAAACACCTCTAAGCCACATTTCTATCCTGAGCCAGCAAACGGTAAGGAAGAATCAAGAGGCAAAGTGGTTTCAAAAACCTGAAAACAATGCCACAAGGTAGCTCTTTTATTTAAGTCTTAATCACTGACTCACCAGGGAAGTCCCTATGATTAGATGTTTCTATTTAGACTTATTTTGGAAAAGCAAAAGCCTCCTACTAAGAGTAAAAAACCGAGTATCCTTTAGAACAATTTGTTTGAAGAAGGGAGACACAGTTTACTATATGCCCCTGGTAAATAGCTTCTCCCCACTTACTACACGTTTTCCAACTAAAAATAGTTTAAACAAGTTGAAAAATAAAATTAAAGCCTCCATCCAATGATGCCCAGTAAGGACCACTGATACAACTAAAAAGAATTCAAATACGTAATGCCAGTCAATTTTAACCCTGCCCTCAATAGAGGGGTCCCTTGAGGCAGGAATCCCTACCACATAGCAAGCTTCCCTGATAAAGAAGGAAAGGATTTTTCTCTAGACCCTGAAGAGTGCTGCCAAGTACATATCAGAGAATTCTTTGTGAATACACAGTCATGCAGATCAAACTTTTTTGGGAGCCCACCTTAGCCAGGGGGGAAAAGTACTTGGACAAGAAAAATGGGATTTTGCTACTTATAAAACAAGCCCAGTAATATCTTGCAACATCATAAAGGGCTGGAATTTGAACAAAAAGAGTAATTTTGAATCAATCCAGGGTTTTTCTGATCTAGGCTTGCACGATGAGATAGAAGTATAGTCAAACTAAAAAAATTAAAAATGATACCAACCCTTAGGTATTTAAAGTTTCTCAAGAAAAACTCAGATGGTTCAACTCCAGAAACACCTTTACAAAATTTAGCAGGTACCTGAGATGGCACTGGCTTTTCACCGTTCTCAGAGTTTTCTCTTACTGAACGATCCGACAGTTTCTGCACATATTCATTTACTGCCTGACTGTCAGGGTGTGATGGTAGACTTCTTGCAGAAGAAACTTCAGTTGTCCCAATGATATCTCGTGGGGAGGAAGTGGTCTGAACACCTGTGGTCTGAACATTTCCAACATTCGGTTCAGAAGCAGCAGGTGGCTCATTCTGCACAAGAGTGTTCTCAAACACTTCTCCCTGGCTGTCAAGGGTTTCAGAGGAGGGGCTGACGGTGGAGGTGGCCTGGATTTCTGCCTGGGATTCTGACAGTGTCACACCTAATGGACAACAGTGGCTGTCTGATATAATCACGTGGTCTTCCTTGTCAGTCATTGTAATTAAGAGCTGGCTGCACTGGTTGCATCTTTCTGGCACTGGCTTCAGGTCCTGGGAAGGGAGGCACTGGACCAGTGCTAAGCTGTGGAAGGCACCGCAAGCAACCTGGAGCACTACTCGCCCAGCAAGGTGTTCCACCTTTTGTGGCTTTGTCACTGGGAAGGTGGTGGTGATGAGACCCAACTGACAACCGGTACCCCATGCCCAGATCTCTCTGCTGAGGGACAATGCCAGAGTGTGCTCCTCACCACATGCCAACTGCAAGATCCTGACCGCTAACAAAGGACTGCTCTCAGAATCAGAAATGCTGACAGGCTTTGGCTCTGGAACATATGGCTGGTTAGCTACCGCACACTGGCCAGAAGAGTTCTCCCCCCACATGTACACCACACCACTGTCTGTGACTGCTCCGGTGTGGAAACTCCCTGTTGCCACGGTAACAACATACTGCCCAACCAGGGCATTCTCCAGAATGGGGCTGCTCGGACAAGTTTCTGCTGGCTCACTTCTCCAGGGGAGAGTCCCAAAGCTGTAGACCTCACCATCTGAGGGTTTAATAACAAAACAAAACAGAAACAAAAAGTTAGTGAATTAACTAGACATTTTCTCAGCTAACCTTTAGTACCCTCTAGGTTTAACAAAATAGAATTTCTTTTTCCTTTTCTTAATTTTCCAGAGCACAGCTATAGAAATTTTGTTCAAGCACATAGAACCCCATACTTACGAATCTTTTAACAAAGAACATCTTTGAACATTCAGAAATATAGTGAAAATTTCTACAAACTGCAGGAGACAACTTCAAATGAAGGTGCTCCTCTTCTTCAGCCTCATTCCATAAACTCCTAGAACCAATCATTACTAACAGCTCTCATCATAGACTATTACAGAAGTGGATTCCAAGTTCAAACACAGAACATTGATCATGATATGATCAGATAAAATAAGCAGAAGACAAAGCAGACACATTCACTAATATCTACAATATTCACTACTAATGTTTAACAGAGCAGTAGATGAATATGCAATGGCATAAAAAATACTAGAGATTCACTTTGGCCAAAACAATGAAATCAGCTTTGTATAACACCTCCAGGTTGGACTGAAAGCAGCAATATTAATAATACATGACTGTCTTCATGTTTTGTACTATACTATGTATAATTTTTAAATATTATATATAATATATATTGTGTACTAGACAGCCTTTCTGAGTTGCATTTAAAAAACACATCACAACAAAACAAAGTAAAACACAAACGAAGTCATGACTGGGTAGCTTTACACTGAAGGGTAACTGGCCAGCCCTTTAGAAATAAAAAGGAAGGCACCAGGGAGTTGGAGACATGAATGATGACAACCTATTTATGCTCACGAGTGCTATCAAGTCATAGTTTTACTGCAGGTACTGCAGGAATTTGGGGGCATGTATAAATGATCCATATTAGCTAAAAAATTTAAATGGGACAAAGATTTGGCCATGGATTTTAAAAAATATTAAACAAAGGCCACTATCCTTTCTTTCCTATATAACCAGGGACCTACCCTTTTTTTTTTTTTAATTAATAAAGAAATGAGTACTATTCTTCTTCCACAAGCAGCGATTCAGTCACTGATGGAAAAAACGCTTATTTTATATCAGGCCTATGATACATGGCAGATACAATTATATATCAAAATTAACTCACTACAAGATCTATGTAAAGAAAAACACAACAGTGGCTAGAAGAAAGATTAGCTTTTGTTAGGGAATTTCTAATTTGGATAGAGTACTGAGAAAATAAGCTCACTGGTTAAGAGCTTTCAAACTTTTCTTCCCAAGTGATATACCTATCAGACTTTCAAACTTTTCTTCCCAAGTGATACACCTATCAGACTTGTTTACCAATATCACACCATTCACTAAAACTTTCAATTGGTATTATTAAACTGGAATAATAGGCTCTCTAGAGAAAACTGCAAAGAAATGAATATTTAGACATCATTTAAAAATAGTATCCCACAAAAACAATGAGTCAATGAGGTGTCCTCACTGAATCAGGAGCTAATGGCTAACTTGAATAGAGACAAAGAAGCTTGAAATCTCTAGTATTCAATCAACACCATTTCCTCACTTAGAAAAGAAAGTGCTGGAGATGTCTGTGCCATTTCAAGCTACACGCTTGTGTTGAGAGGAGACTTTCTGTTACCTTGACACTTAAACCAGAATACTGCTTACACATGAACATAGGTTATTTACATATTTTTTTAAGTTTTCCCTCAGTTTTCCCAGCCTTTTAGGTTTGATTCTAGATGTTTAAAGATACCATGCTCATGAAGGATTCCTAAACAGCTGACTGAAGGGCTAAAACGACAACAGTAACAGAATTCCATTTATATATGCTTGAGAACTATAGATTTTGAAGCCCATAGTGTAGGTACTGAATATAGTTCACATTTAAAAAATAAGGCTTTTTCCAAATTTTGGCCTAATACAATAATATTGATAGTATTATGTATTATTATAATAAAAGTGACATAATAACAAAGAAATTAGGAAGAAATCTACGTTTACCCCATAAAACCACCAAGGTCAGCTTTAAGCTTTGTTTCCTAAAATTTGTCTTCCCTTAGTTCCTACAAGGAAAATACCAAAGCATTATTAAATACTTAACAAATGCTTATAGAGCAGAAATTTATAAATGAGTGGAGTTGATGGCTGTCCTGACCCAAATCAAATTTACCATGACTGCACTGGGAAAATGCCATCAAAATTAAAGGTAGCTCTCTCTATAAATTATAGCCTAGGTTTCTGTTACAGATTTATAGACTGCATTATATTCTTATGAGCTGCCATTTATGCCTGAGAAAAGCTGTACTAAGATAGTATAGCCAAGTGATTTTAAAAGCAGGCTTTGAAATCAGACTCTCTGGGTTCCCATCCTGACTCTGACCCTTTAAATAGCTGTGTGTGCCTGGGAAAATGATTTAACCTCCCTGACCTTTAGGTTCCTCATCTGTGAAGTGGGGATAATAACAGCAGCTACCTCATTAGGTAGTTGTCTGGACTCAATGAGATAATACATATAAAGTGCGTAGTACAGTGCCTGGCACATAGAATTGCCTAACAGACATTTGCTATTATTAGCATTATTATTCTGATACATTTAATGAACAAAGGTATAGCAACAGGATCTCTGAATACATAATCTTTCAAAAAATCTGATTTTTCATGTACTTACCACTACAAAAAAATTTCAGGTATAATTCTCCCTTTTATTCTAGCTAGGGAACATCTTAAATTTAAGAACGAATCTGATTGCTGATAAAGGGAGTAAGAACACAGTTTGAACACAAAAGAACACAAGCTCCAGCAAAGCCCACTCGGCCGCGGCACACAGGGGCTCAGCCGTCCCGGCGCTCAGACACGGCTCAGGCCTCAGTGGGTGCCGGCTGAGCCGCCGTCCCCAGTACCTTCAGTCAGAAGCGCCCCGTGTCGCGCTCCAAGGGCGGCGTGGAGGACAGTCTTTCCTCCCCAGCCTGGCAATCTCTCTGGTGCCACGGAACAGGACCCTGCCTGCCACACGTGCACCAGGCCTCTTTCTTTGGATCCTTCAGCCTCTGTGGAACTACAAACATCAAGAAAAATAGCTTAATTGTTTCTGTAGTTCAGAACTATACCTCTTGTCCTTAATACTGTCATGAAGATTTATACCTTTTACCAGTACATGGGTGACTGGGTCAACAGGTTAGCACCTATTTTATGACTTGGTTATGACACAGAAGCAGAGGCAAAACAACTATTTATATGAGACCCTGAGGACAAATCCACAAATTACTTGTTTGTATCTAAGAAGCCAACAAAACCTGGGCTATTTTTTGAAGTTTTCTGATTGAGTAACATAAAATTTCAAAATTCTAACTTCTCAATACATTAAGTCCTTAGCTATTAAAGTTACAGCATATCCAAGGTTGGAGTCTTATTTTTAAATTTTTTAAATTTGGTCGGAAAAAAAAACAACAAATAGGTATCTGATGAGAAAGACAGGAGCAGTAGGGATCTTTACTTCACTTTATGCTGAATTTAAACTCTGTAATTCCTATTTAAATTTTTGAGAGTTAAATCCTTCATGCTTTACTCACATTTTAGCCAAAGAATTCTATCCATTTTGACACTGGCTCAAAAGTCATAAAACACACAGCTGTGTAATAATGATCATATCCTAACTGCCTCTCTTTCCAAGAAAAGGTCATATTAACATACTCTGGGTTTCCTTTATATAAAGTCTTCCTTTGTGTCACCACTGATGGGACATTTCTTTTTTCATAATCTTTTTTCTAGAATACTGATGCCAAAATTTTAAGGATATTCAGAAATTTTCTTTGACTTCTTTATTTTGTAATACCTGGGATTTTCTCTATTTGTGCTAAATAATATTCCTATAAGTTGTAATTGGATACATCCATGGTTTTATGAAAGGGAAGCCACAAACCTAACCCCTTTTTCAAAATATCATCCATGACGAGTTTTCTAAGGATAGAACTATAATTAATAAGGCTACTTTTGAAAAACTGAAATTATGTGAGGAAAAATCGGCTTCAAAAGCTTTACAATGATGAAATGAAGACATTTTGTACCTTTAGTAAGCATAAGAAAGGGACTACTAGCAACAAAGTGAACCACTAACAAGCTTTATTGTAATTATCTTTCTCTCTTTGCCAATCAACACAAATGTCGCTATTCCTACTTGGTAACCATCGAGAAGAAAATTAAACTGAAGAGAAGCTACACATAAGTGGAACTGTTTGTTGTGTTTTCCTAGAAAGACAGAGGAGAAGGAAAAAATGGTTTTACCTTTTCTTCTTTGAGTCCATCGGTCAGTGGGAGCACTCCATCACCAAATCATTCTCTCCTTGCAAAAGGTAAAGACCTAAACAGCAAAATGCAGGTAAGCACAAAGAGCAGTAAAAAACCCTTTGCTATTTTATCAGTCAGATTTTTCAAAAACAGAAGAAAAAAAAAAAAACACAGCCCTCCAACAAGCGCACATTCACTGGGCAATAAATATGCAGCAAAACTATTTAAACTATTTCATATCCTGCCTGCCAAAGTCAAATCTCTAGACTGAGCCTGCCCACCAGCTTATGAAAAATGCCCGCTGAAAGTCAAATGTAATTTCAAAGTGAGAAGAGAGTACCTATGACCTTGCTGTACTCTGCCAGGCAACAGACTTTCTTCGTTTGTTTTACTATAAAGAAGTGGAATCTGAAAACTCAGCGTGTTACATATTCACTACACACACACTAAGGCTACTTTTTAAATGCTTCTGGGACATACGTACACTGAAATACAAGTTAAATAAACAAGAACTGCTACAATCTCTCCAGTAATGTATCAGATTCAAGCAGTTTTAATTTACATTTTCCAGCGATGCCCACACACAAAATTACATCATTAGAACAAAGTTCTCCATTTATTGGAACCAGCAGTATTTCCCCCAAATCAATCTTAATTCAAAACCATAATCCAAAGGGCTGGAAGAAAGAAATCTGAATTTGAAAATATCATCTGCCATTTAATAGAAAAGAGTTACATGAAAATAACAGTACAAATATCATGATCCATCATTTCAGCAACTCAAAGTTTAATAAAGTTAGAGCTAGCAATAGGAACAGGCAGACAGAAATGCTCAATGCATTTCAACTTAGAAATTCACATTTTTAAGGGCACCAAAGCTTATGAAAATAAGGGCAATGGGGTTTTAGATGTGTGAGTGATAAAAATACTGCGGCCAAATTTATTATTGTCTTGCAAAAGGATATGGCATGATCACAATGCTCTGCAAACAGCCAACACCGGCAGGAGAGATGTAAGATCCATCTGTTTACTCCAGGTTGCCTGTGAATTCTTACTGTTTCCCATCTGTATATCTGGAGGAAATTACTCTCTACCTAGTGCTTATTTTAGAAAGGTTCTGAATCATTCCAAGTAGGATGAAGGGTACCATGTAAATGAAAGATATATTTGAATAGATTTAGCCAATTCATTGGAAGAGACCCTAATGCTGGGAAAGATTGAAGGCGGGAGAAGAAGGGGACAACAGAGGACGAGATGGATGGATGGCATCACCAACTCAATGGACATGAGTTTGAGCAAACTCTGAGAGATAGTGAAGGACAAAGAAGCCTGGCATGCTGCAGTCTATAGGGTCACAAAGAATCGGACACGACTCAGTGACTGAACAACATTTAATAAATATGATTACTAAGTGGTATTATGCTTTGTGTGTGACAGTAATTACCTTTTAGTAAAAGGTACAGTTCACAGCATACAGAAAAGTTCTGAGGACAGGTCTAACCTTTGCTTGTCTATCAGAGATCAGAGTAACTGGTCCCTTGATACAGGTGAAACAGTGCCCTGGAAGAAACCAGAGAACTGCTCCGGGAGGGTGCGGCAGTGCACAAACACACTTCATGCAACTGACTCGCTGCCTCTGAGCTGAACTGTGTCCCACTGCCTGGCAACCAAAACCGTGGCGAATCTTTTGGTAAAGTGACTAAAGCAGCCAACATTTCTTCCCTTTTGGTGTCCTTGTCTTGAATACAGGGCTTTCTTAAAGTAGATTACTCCTTATGTGATATGATTTCTCACCAATAATCATTCTTTCAAATCCAAATGAAATTAAAACTCTACAAACTGCTTTGCAACATTCCTTTCTTACTTTCTGTCTACGGTAGGGAGGATAATGAACCCCAAGATGTCCATGTGTCCTAATGCCCAGAACCTGGGAGTATGTTAGGTTACACGGCAAAGGAGAAGTAAAGCTGCTAACCAGCTGGTTTTAAGTTGGGGAGATGATTCTATTAATAGCTATCCAGGAGGACTCAGCATAATCGCAGAGTCCTTAAAAATGGGAGAGGGAGGAAAAGGAGAGTTCGAGAAAGAGACATGATGAAGCAAACAGGGTAAAAGAGCTGCTAAATGCTGGCTTTGAAGATGGAAGGGAACAGCCACAAGCCAAGGAACGTGGGTGGCCTCTAGGAGCTGAAACGGGCAAGGGAATGGATTCTTTCCTAGAGCCTCCAGAAAAAAAATGCTGCCCCGATGATACACTGAAACCCAGAGAGACTTGAATCTGACTTTTAACCTAAAGAGCTCTAAGATAATAAGTTAGTGTAATTTTGGGCACTAAATTTGTAGGAACGCTATAAGCAGCAACCAAACACTAGTATACTATTTCACAGACATCTTTCTTTATCAATATTTATAGATCTAATTTTGTTAATGGTGTTTAATATACTTCTAAGAAGATATGCCCACCTGAAATTCAAATATGGCAATGAGAAAAAAAGGAAATGACTGCTAAGGAAACATAACTAAAAAGGAATATTACAGCTAAAATGTGGAAAGCTTATAAAGTTTTACCTTACATACTTAAAATATGTAGCATTTACCAAATCCAGTTAACCTAGCTTTCTTCCTCAACTATGTATCCAAACAAGAAAAATAAATTTATAAATTTTCTTTTCCTAATATTTTTATGATACCCCTTTCTGGGAAATCTATAAGACTTGCCTCAACCATTCAAATAGCATTTAGACTTGCTTATGTTCTTCCACTGTTTAACATTTTTAATTGTTATAAAACTGCCTAATTATGAGGCTTCTTCTGAGGATATTTCTCCCCAGGTGAGTCAGGATCCCTGCACTCTGCTTTTCTTCTGTTACAGTAACTTTCTCTCTAGCCTTTATTATATTAACTAGCTCTGACCCAGAAGCTCTGTGATATTAACAGACTCAGATAATGTGGGGTCCCCTCTTTTACTTCATCTGGCCTTCAGACACCAATGGCATCTCTAAAAGAAGCAAAATAGACTCTGGCATCCCCTCCAACTACTAAGTACTATGAGCCACAGAAGAAAGCTACATTCAGTTTAAATATACCCTGGAACATTTCAAATTATCTCCTTCACAGTGAAATGTAAAGTAATCAAACTCTCAGATGACCTTTTAAAACAAAAAGCAAATTTTGGTTCTTAATGAATTGATTTCACTGTTAGATCCCAGTGGACACACAACCTCCTGTTACCTTTAACAGAGAGATAAGCTAACTTGTACATACAGAGGATATGGTTTTAGTACCATGATCTGGCAGTGCCTAAAAAAAAAATTCTGGTCTAGATGTTCTAATTATCACTAGAAAGAAGAGCTGCAAACTATCTACAGGTCCATGATACCATAACCAGAAATCCAAAATCCAAAAAACTCTGAAAACTAAAAGTTTTTTTCATTTATGTCTTCTGGTGGTAAAATTTAATCTGACCTGAACTCACCCAAGAGCAAAACCTAACCGAAACTAACGTGAGGCTATTTAGTTTTTACCCTTTAGTGTACATCTTTGTAAGTTTTGTCACAGAAGTATTAATATGATTGTAGGATGGTATCAAAAGCCCCACAGGAAGTGTTATATATGGTTTATACATCTTAGTCCAAAGATCAGAAAAACTCTGAATTTCAAAACACATCTTGCAAGTAAGGGTTTGCAAGTAAGGGTTACAAGTAAGGGACTGGGAACCTGTATTCTAAAATTATCATTTTGGTAGACATCCTCAGCTTTTTAATGGCAATGATTTACATCACTCGTTTCAAAAGTTTTAAGTCAGTTTTATGGTGAACATAGTCACATACAGTGCCCAAATGAGTTTTGTAAGGAATACCCTCCCTGAAAATACTCTCTTGCCTCATCTGAGTGGAGGAGGAAGCCTGGGCTCCTTAATTTCACACAAGACTACCTGTTTGGTGGAAAGAGGTAAATGGTGAGAGGGGCTGTGTCCTAGAACAACAAGGACTTAGTGATGCAACAGATACAAGTGGGAGATAAAGAAGAAGAAGGGATCAAAAATGACCTCTGACTTCTGCCTTAAGCAACTGTGCAGTGGTACCATTTACTGAAATGAGGAAAAGTGAAGGGACAGGATTCTGAAGTAGAAGGTAAGATTCTGGTTAGACAAGATTTTTTTTTTTTTCCGTAAGTTCAAGGTGCCTGTGAGAAATCCAAGAGTACATATCAACTGAGCAGCTGAATATATGAGTCTGGTGTTCAGAAGAAAGGTCTTAACTATTGAGATAAACTTGGGAAGCATGTGGACAATATCTGAGAGCAAGACAATGGATGGTGAGAGAGGAACGCACACAAAAGCAAGGGAAGGCACAGGATCAAGCTGTGAGATGCCTGGACAGACTGAGCAACGGGCAAAGGCTGAGACGGGACGTGGCCTGAGAGGCAGGAGAAACATGAGTCTGAGGTGGGCACACGAAACAAAGCAGAAAATGCTTCCAGCAGGAAGGACTGCTCAGCACAGCTGGGGTCTCAGCTGGGGACTGAAAACCAGATTGGAGCAGCCTGACTGTAAGTGGCTGGAAATAAAATAAGGACATGAAAATAAAGTTGGTGCAAATGATTCTTTTAAAAAAATGTTGAAATGGCAAACAGAAAGGAGCAGTCACTGGCGAGAAACATGAAGATCAAGAGCATATTTTGGGGGAGCAGGGTCAGATGAGAGAGAGCTGAACACGTCTGCAGGACGATGACACTGATCCTAGATAGAAGGGGGACAAGGACAGAGGGCAAAACCAAAACCCTGGACAAAGCGGGACAGGAGAGCATTCAGAACACACAGGCCATGGGACTGACCTTTCATGAGAGGAAGGGTCTACATTTCAAGAAGGAACAAAACAGCAGGATAAACACAGGAGGATCACAGATTCCGTGGTGGGCGGCTAAGAGCCCCACGGGATAGCACCTGTGACTACGACTTCACCGTATGGGTGCTGTGCTTTCCAATCTCACACCTGGCTCCATTCATTCCATCTCTTCACTTTATTTTGCCACGTTTACAAAGTTCTGTAAACTGCCTTTTAGGAACAAAGT